CCCTGCTGTAATGAACGGCCTCCCTAGCATCTTCTCTCAGTTCTACTGTATACATAATTCTCAGAGACTTCTCTCACAAACACAATAAACATATACTTTAGCATGCTGTGATAATTAAGGTCCTGAATAATATGTTTGTTTTGCAGTGGTGTAGGGTAAAGGTTTTCAAATTGCCATATGCAGGCTATTTTCAGGGGCTTCCCAGAGGCGGCTCCCAGCTGTCTATGCAAGTGCGGACCTGCATACCAGCCAAGTCCTGCAGTGCAGGACCTGTAGCACTCCTACAACAGAGTGTGCCTGCTGCTGCACAGGAGCTCACCCTGGCTCATGCAGCACCAGTACAGATGCAGTCATCTCATAGTTCATCAGCTAAGTGGCTTTCCCCAGGCCAGCATTTTCTGAATCAGCTAAAGGCTGCGTGGTATTTGAATGCAGAGGTAGAGAAAGGTGAGTAAAGGGACACGAAAGAGCAGTTAAGGATTAAAATTGGGTGGTGGGGGTGAACTGGGTGGTTAAGAGATGAAATTGGTGATGGTAAGGTGATTACAGCTGCAGGGAACATGCATCAGGTCCTTAGTTTGAGGGAAGGAAGAGTACTGATGGGATAACAGAAGTGGCCCATTTGCCCAATCCTGTAAAGCTCCATCCTATTCACATCAAACAACAGTGCTGACAGGCCTAAACATACTTACCAAGGTGAAAAAGTTTAGGACAGACACAAACCAAGGCACTGAGCATTTACAACACATGCCAAAATAATCTACCAGAACTGGCCTAAAGATTTGGTGTCAAGTCAAACAGAAAATACTTGTAAATCAACCGGCCGGCATGTTAGCCAAGTCAGTATCACATCTGATAAAATTATTCAAGATGCTGAAGAAATGAAGACTATATTTCTCTAGGAGGCCCAATTCTTTGAGGTATTCAGCAACTTCATGTCTTAAGACCATGAAAAATAATATTACAGTGCTTCATATTGTAGCACCTATGCACTTGTAAGCTAAACATATTGGAGAGATACAGTCCCGCAGTGCCTCAGTTGCCTATACTGCATTATAGGAAGCCACTGCACCAGAGCGGATTTCATTAAATGTTCCTAATTTATTCTGCCTCATTGCTCTGTTGTAAACAGGGCAGGTCACTAAAGAGCAAGGCATTTAGTCCAAAAAGAGCAATGTGAGTGAATATACAAACTCAACATACTACATCAGGGTAAGGTCCCTCATTAGCCTCTGAAATCCCTCAGAAGTGAGAAGATACGAGCTTTTGTTTACCGGATAGAGCCCAGTGTTCTCACAAGCATTCACTCTCTTTTACAACCTCCCCTTGAAAAGTTTTTGGACAGCCATTAGTAGCATGCTTTAAATCCCAATCTACGTCAGAGAGAAACTTTCAACTGTATTTTGATTCCTTAATTTGTGACTTCTCTTTTTGCCTTGCTTTTTGATCAGGGTGACAGGAACAACATTTTATTCATTTTTACCAGAAAAAAAAAAACATAGCAGAAAAGGTAATGATTAATCCATTCTGCAAGAAAAAAGAATACTTCTGATTGTGAAATTGCTGGTATTATCTAACCAGTATAAATAGAAGTGTACTCAGAGAAGGCACAGGATGGAAAACTTATGATGAATTGTTAGGGCATGTTGAGTTGGTTCTGTCAATGCCTGTAGTCAGATGATTTCACTGGCTGTACAAGACGAAATCTCATATTTCAGTGTATAAGTGTCAAAGTTCAGCTGAAGCAGAGACGAATACGGAGCAAATTTTGTCTGTATTTGTAACTAGGGCACCAGAGCGATACAAGACACCAAAATGAGCCGGAAAAGCAGAAGGAGTTTAAAGGAGAAACTTGCCTTGAAGAACAGCTGGGCTAAAGAAGCCCTCTCAGAATTCCTGGGAACTTTTGTGTTGGTAGTAAGTGTCAGCTGCTTTCCTTTCTTTCCACTAATCTAATGTTGGACTGTGCTTGTAAGGGGACTTGTATGCTTTTTCTTGTACTGTACCAGCAGTGTGGCTACTGCCTGACAAACATTGTACAGCTTTGTATGAATTGCTTCTATTTATTGTAAGTTTGTAATTCCTTTCTTCACCTGATGTAATTCTCACTGGCTATTAAAAACAGATAGCTTTACGTATTAGAATTGTCTGATAGGCATTTGATTCCATACAGGAGCAGAATTTCAGTGAACTACCACATTCTGAAAAATCCAGATATGCACAATGAATGTTAATAATACTGTTTCATTTTTAAAGAACTCAGCAGTTGATTCTACTTTCACTTCTATGCACAACTTCCATTTGCTTTAACAAACATACTGTACTGCACATTAAGAGAATTTTAGTTGAGTTTTTTTCCTGTGCAATATTGAAATTTAGCTGTGTGATTTGTTGTCAATTTATTGGGAGTTGCATTGCTAAACCTTCAGAGATTTTGTAAGTTAACTATTTTTGGGTTTTTTTTTTAAGCATACTACATAAATTATACAGTTTCTTGGTCCTGTAGTGCTGCTACAATTTAGGTAAATACCAAACTTCCCCATTTTCATATCCCCCGATTTTTTTTTCCCTTAATTTCTTGCTCAATTTTTCTGTGCATTTTGCACTGGGACACAGAGCTGTTTGGTGATTTACTAGGGTAGAGAGCAGGCTCCGTAGCCGAGCTGGAAGTCAAGCAGCTAGAGTATTTAAGCCAAACTCTTTCTCCATCCTTTTAGTCTGAACAAGACAGTCTTGCTTATTGCTAAATATTTCATCATAGTGAAAGGACAGAAAAAAAAGAAGCAGGCATACTACTGACATAGTGTATTTTATAACTATAACTGTATTAGCTAAATTTCAAGTAAGTCATCTAAAAAATTCCAGTAGCTCATAAAATACATGCAAATAATGGTCTTTACTACACTTCAGCCAACTGAAGTGCACAGGCACTAAAGTAACATTATTCTCAAATTTAATACCATCCATAAGACATTACTATAGTAAGGAGCACATTTAGAAGAAAGGAGCACAAAGCACTTTACAAACATTAATGAATTAAGTGTCACAACACCCTGATAAGCAGGGGAAATGTCATTATCTTTATTTTATGCATTAGCAAACCTGATTACAGCAGACTGCACAGGAAGCCTGTGGCAGAACTCTGAATATAACCCAGATCACCTGACTTCCAGTACTCTGTCCTCGCCACAAGATCATCCTCCTCTTTCCATTAATACAATTAAGCAAGTGAAGAAAACATATTAAAGTGCAGATTAGACCGCAAATGCTATTATTTGATGTCCTGCTGCACAAGACTAGAAGGAAATGCAAACCCAGAGCCCGTTTTCTAGTATATTCACCATATGAATACAGTAGAAAATGAAGCTACAACATTGTTGTTGATGATCTGGCTGAGTTTCTCAATTCTGTCTTACCTTTTCTAATTTCATCCTTGGCTTAAAGCAGAGAAAAGCCTCACATGGATTAAACTGCAGGTTTCTCAGTGCTTGGATACCTCAATTTACGTTTAGACTGTGTAAGTCAATGGCAGTACAAAGCATTTGTTGTGAAGAAACTGACTTTTCTGCTGGTTTTTATTGCTATTGCTTTTAGGCTCTGTCGGCTAGTAAGTAGTTTCTCTTCAAGAATAGATCAATATTAAACCGTTAACTTATATGGGAGCTAATAAAAGGGGCACCCTGGTAAGTCAAAGAGCAGAAAGCCTTGAAAAACAGATACAATGTATGCAAAAGAAGTGACAGCTTTCTTCCACCATCCTACTACTATGTCTTAATCCTGTTACAAAGTGATAGTGACATGAGAGTTCATGGCCTACAGCACCGTTGATTCAGATCTCTGCTGAAAGTCATTTCATGTCACTGTGATGGGTTTCACAGGCTGTGTGGAGCACCCATGCCAGGGAGCAAGGCAGGGACAAACCTTTCTATTACCCACAGGCTCTGTCTGGAAGTCAGTGCTAACAGACCATACCCAAATCTGCGACTAACCTAGCACCTCTGGAAGTTAGCCGGGTGAAATTCTGTCCCCCCAAATCACCAATTTTAGTCTTTCTGGAGAACAACATCACAGACCACATATTATTACAAGCTTAAATTATCATCTTTGGTAACTCTCAAGCCTTGCAACGTTATTTTTCAAGCTGGAAAATGTACAAACTGTAAGATTACGTTCAGGACATCTAGAAAGTGAAATCGTTCACCAGGCAAAAACCAAGCCTTCACCTGGGGGTGAGAAAGGCTCTAGCTGCAACATTGAACAGATGTGAGACAACAAGCCTTAATTAAGTCACTGGGTATAGAGTTTGGATAACATCTCTTGGTCATACCTACTTAATACCCTGTGGTTTGCCTTGCAGCGTGGTCTCAGATCACTTCAGCTCAATACATTTCAGATGAAACTAAAGTGGAAGGTCAGCTCCAGAATCACAGCAAATGTGCTGACCTTTAATAGCTGCTCAGTCCAGTGGATCAGACTGGAGATACTCCCAAGTAATCCCTCCTGAGATGTCCATAGTCAGGTTCTCTGAACCAGCTGCTTGCACTGCACAACTTGATAATACAGACATAGCCTGTGTGAGTCCCGCTCTCTGCTTATCAAAGCACCTGATTTCAACCTCTGAGTGTTCAGTGAGAAACACTAAGCTGCAGGAACCTGGAAATGTCTGCTGTATACAGAGTAACTGCCCTTATCGCCTGTCTGGGTGATCTTGCTGGTGATTAGGCTGTTCTACGCAGACCTATTCTGCTGAGGGAACAAGTATTTCTTTCAGTATCAAGCTTTGAATTATTACCCAAGGCATAGCACAGCTTCTCTAATTACACTCTGGAACAAGAATTGGGGCAGAAATGAACGGTCCATAACCAAATGCCAATTTCATGTGGTTTTGGTTACATGGAGCTTTTGGTTACTGTCTGAACAGTATTCACTTTCTAAGGTTCCATCAAGCTGAGAAAATGTTGCACTTCACCTCTTATGTGATTTCTGTAAAACAAATGAAGTGATGCCGTTTAAACATAACTAAGTTCACATTGGCAGTGCCGTTTAAACATAACTAAGTTCACATTGGCAGTACAGGCAATGACGATCACTCTTTATGCTGGGTATTTATATTTGCAGATTATTTGTAAACTCCTGCCCATTTCTTGCATTTACCTTGGTGCTGTCACGTGGTCAACCCAAGCTTGCAAAGTGTAATTGTGCTATTTGCAATTTAGAATAAATAGCCACAAAACCCACAATCTACCCATATATTTTTCAATGAATATTTGAAAAGGATACAACCGTTTTCCAGGAAATGGATACTGAGTAATGTGGCTTTTACACAGTGTGTTTGGAACCAACTTGTCGGACTGGTCCCTCCAGCCCACAGCAATGCAACAGGTCCCTGAGGTGAGAGGACACCAACCCATTTGCACTGTGGTGGCCAAGAGGCCAGTGCACACACACATTTCCCAGCCTCTGACACAGCCTCAGCCTTCTGTAGCTGGGGCTGCCCCTGGGGCCTCCCTTGAGAAAGAGCTCTCTGGAGACCTTTTGTTCTCCAGCATGTCTTCTGGTTCAGTACATTTCCTCTTGGGTCTCTTTGGGTTAACCTGCAGAGCAACACCTGGGTGCCGGCACAAAAGAGTCAAGAAGCCATGTTGCATCAGATAGATGGTTTATGTGACTTTTCAGTGATTCTCTCCGGAATTCACTGCCTCTCTGCTTTCAGTCGTGCTTGTCTTCGTATTTCCCCTTTGGAACCTGGATGAATTGCTCTCAAACAAAATGGAATTCACCCTGGCTTATGCCATTAAGTGTATCTGAATTGGAACAGTTCCAAAAAGAGAAGTCAAATGGGCCATGTGGCTGCCTTTATCGGCTACTGCTCACCTAACAGAGTTTGTATTTCATTTTCACTCACATGAGCATCTTACTGAACACAGTTTCCCAGAAAGGAGCTTCACAGGAGCCAGTATCTCCTGAGTCCAGAGCAGTGTACACTTGCTGAAACAGACCACAGGCTTCCATTTAGCATATAAAGACAAGTGGGTAGCGTATATATTCCTACCCCAAAGCTTAGTCTCCAACTGGAGTTGGAGAGCCTCTTGCAAAACTCCCACTGAAGCAAATATTTGTGTGTGTGTAGAGGATGCAGTGCACTAGCATGAACTGAATGCACGACACCCCGTGCTGCAAACAGACCAACTAATGAGAAGGAAGGCTGTTTATTTCTGGCTCATCAAAATCTTTTGTCCTGTTTTCTGATTCTGACCACTTCATTACGCAAGTTATCACTGCTGCTTGGTTGGGGAGTTTAGTCTTGCCTGAAAAATCTTTAAGTATGACATTATATGGATTTGCTCAGTCCAGAAGATTAAAATTTAAGCAACTTTTTCATATCTTTCTTTTGGTGGTCCTACATTCCAGTGCACATTTATTACAATACTGTACAGTAATAGGTATCCCTTGTTCCAAACATGCATTAGAATCCTCATTACATGAAGTTATTATATGAAAGTAAATGTAGCTTTTGATCATTTACTCCTTAAATAAGTGTTTATCATTTAATACAAAATCACTACTTAGAAATTTTAAACAAAGATAAATTCCGTGTTCTAAATTTTTAGGTGAAAGGGAGACTCTTTCTTTGTATAGGATGAAATTGCTTACATCAAGTCTTGTTTAAGGTACAAAATTAAATAGCAGTAGCCTCTAACAGCTACCTTGTTTGCCATCAGCAATGAATTTCCTGGAGTACAGAATCTTGTATAATTAGCTCTCAGACAGTGAAATTCTGTTTGTCAAAGCTAGACAAAAAAAGTTGTTAAAACATATTTATAACTGGTATTTCGGTATGTCACTCATCAGCTTTTTCAATATTATATAATGCTACAGACACCATGGGCCTTAGCAACGTTTGCAGTCTGAAAATT